GTTAATTTCCTCTTAAATATAACTACACTCTTCACATCAGCATTTCCTGTCGTTCTGAGTCATACCTTCTCACCGCCTTCTGGATTTTTTTTTCTAAACTCCTCTTTGGATTTCTTGGTGACTGTTTTATGTGGATAGCCTCCTGTTACATCCATCCCCACATGTGGAAACATTCCCTCTGCGTGCACTCTGTCAAAATGTTTCATAATTTATAGGACATCTCTTAGATCACCCCACAGCACTTTTTCCTTCAAAAGTGAAGGGACCCAGCCTGTCAATCCTCTCCTGATACACATACCAGTACATTTTTTGTGTCATCTTTCTGATTCTTCCTTGTATCCTTTTCAGTGCCTCTATATTATTTTATAATATGGTGACCAGAACTGCATGCAGTGCTCTAATTGTGGTCTAACAAATGTTTAATGTGGATTTAGTATGACTACCATGTTTGGATTGGCTTTCATCATGGTCTTGCTAACCTGTGATGCAACCTTCAGGATTGATGTACTTGCACTCCAAGGCTCTTCTGCTCCTCTACCTCATCTTGATCTGAACTTTCCAAGTGATGCATGAGCTCTGTATCTTCCTAATGAAATGTATCATCTCACATCTAACTGTGCTGAACTTCATTTGGCAATTAACTGCCCATTGTTAACGTCCTCCGGTAATTTGTTGCACCCATCCTCAGTTTAGACTCTGACCAAAAGTGGTGTTATCCATGAACATAGTATCTGTGTTTTTGATTCCGAAGTGCAAATCATTAATATAACAGTATAACAGAATAACAGTAGTCTCAGGACTGATTCTCCTCGGGGCAGCAGTTGCCACTTTCTGCCACCATGAATAACTCAGTTTCTTCCATCTCTCTGATTTGAAGCCAGCTAACAATCCCTTCTGTCTATTTTCTTTCACCTTATTCATTAATTTATATGGGGGACTTCATCAAAGTCAAAAATCCAGATAAACTAAATGTCCCATTACCATTAGCTGATTTCTCTATTATTACGTCAAAAGTTAATAAAATGAATAATTAATATTAAAGTTAATTGATTATTGAAAATAATAATCAATAAGATAATAAAAATAATAAGGACTTTTCTTTTGAAATTCATTCTTCTATTCATCATTGTATTTCTTATTTCTAGATGTTCTTTTATCCGTTAGAATGGATTGCACTGTTTTTCCCACCACTGATGTCGGGCTAGCAAGTCTGGTGCAGTGACATTGTCCCTACCTTTGGACCAGAAGGCCCAGATTCAGGATCTACTTGTTCCAGAGTTGTGTTATGCCATCTCGGTACAGGTGGATTAGAAAATATCTATAATTGCACTTCTCACGTATCAGTGCTCTGGTACTAAACAGTTTCCCGATGAATTATTAACCATGTGTTGTAATATCACTGTTACTGCTTTCCTAGGTTATCTTGAAACATTTGGACACAGCCCAAAAGGACCAGGGTTTTTTTTTCCACTTTCTGTTTGCTCATTTTATTCAATACAACCCTTCTTTTACACACACTCATCTCTTTTATCATCTCGCATTCAATGACATGTCTACCTGTTCCATCTGTCTGGCAAATGATGCAGTAAAATAATTATTTAATATTGCTGCCATCTCTCTATAGCTGGATGTGGTACTATCCTGTCTATCTCTTAATGATCCTACATCCATCGTAGCCTTGCTTTTTTGGGATGTGCCAGCGAAATATGTAACTGTTTTGCTTTATGTTTCTCTTTGTCTCTCTTTGCCTGAATTGTTTTCCTTTACTTTTGTTCTAATCTCTCTGTATTCTCTCTCATGAAGCGCTCCTCTACTCTCTATGTAACTAACATATGCTTCTTTCCTAACACTCCATAGTTCCTCGACCAACATTAATAAAGGGGCAAACATAAATAAGCAGTTTCTAACCTCAGTTGATCCTTGGGCAATACCACTTCCTGTGTGGGGGCAGGAGGGGAAGTGGGCTAGTGTATAATTTTACACCACTGTTCAGTGTACTGGTTTGACAGCAACATCTCTACCCCTGGGCCTTTTCCCTGCAAGCCAAATTTGGAGAGGAATGACTATTCAACTTGCAACAAACAGGTATGCTTCTTAAGATAATTAAAAGGCCAATTAATGTCAATGATCAGGAGTTGTCAAGAACCGCTCAGTCCTGACTGCCTGCCTTTCTTCCCTGGCCACATTCATGCCCTTAGAGAGAGAGCAGTCAGTGTCCACCAATATCCTCAAAGTTTTCAGAAAGAGTTGGGCATTGCGGGCGTTGAGCTGCATTATTTCCCCTAGTAACTCTATTTTGATGGAATACCATCCCTCTCTTCCTAGCCTCCTCAATTTTAGTCATTGTCGTACTGCCTGTGGTGGGAAATTAGAATCGCAGAATCTCTACAGTGAGGAAAGAGACCATTTGATTCATCAGGTCTGCACCAACCCTCTGAAGGGCATCCCACCCAGACCCTATCCCAGTAACCCCACCCCCCACCATTTACCATGGCTAATCCATCCAACGTTCCCATCCCTGGATACTACAGGGCAGTTTTTCAAAGTACTAACAATCCATCTATTGCTGGTGCAGTATTGATGAAGTAGGTGCCAATCTTTCAGACAAGATATAAGCTAAGGTGTTTTGCTGTGAAGTAGGAATAAAAATCTCATGACTCCTTTCTCAAGCAGTACACCCGATGTCCAAAGAAGCTCTACACATACGTTAAGGGCAAAAGAGTAACTAGGGAGAGAACAGGGCCCATTAAAGCTCAACAAGGCTGGCTATGTGTGGTACCACAAATGATGGATGAGATACTAAATGAGTATTTTGCGACATATTTACTGTGGAGAAAAATATGGAAGCTAGAGGACTCGGAGAAATAAACAGTGATATCTTGAAACATGTTCATATTACAGAGGAGGAAGAGCTCGCCATCTTTAAAGGTAGATAAATCCCCAGGACCTGATTAAGTGTATCCCAGAACTTTGTGAGAAACTAGAGAAGTGATTGCTGGGCCTCTTGCTGAGACATTTGTAACATCGATACACACAGGTGAGGTGACAGAAGTCTAGAGGATGGCAAATGTGGTGCCATTATTTTAAAAAGGTGGTTAAGGAAAAGTCACGGAACTACAGACCGGTGAGCCTGACATCGGTGGTGGTCAAGCTGTTGGAGGAAATCCTGAGAAACATGATTTACATGTATTTGGAAAGACAGGGACTGATTAGGGATAGTCAACGTGGCTTTGTGCGTGGGAAATCGTATCTCACTAACTTGAGTTTTTTGAAGAAGTGACAAAGAAGATTGATTAAGGTAGAGTGATGGACATTGTCTGTATGGATTTCAGCAAGGCGTTCGACAAGGTTCTGCATAGTAGACTGGTGAACAAGGTTAGATCACATGGAATACAGGGAGAGTTAGCCATTTGGATACAAAATTGGCTTGTACATAGGAGAAAGGTGGTGGAGAGTTGTTTTTCGGACTATAGGCCTGTGATCAGCCGTGCACCATAAGGACCGATGTTGGGCCCAGTGCTTTTTGTCATTTATATAAATGATTTGGATGTGAATATAGGAAGAATAGTTAGTAAGTTTGCAAATGATACCAAAATTGCTGGTTGTAGTGGTCGGTGATGAAGGTTATCTCAGAGTACAATGGGACCTTGATCAGATGGGCTGATGGGCTGAGAAGTGGCAGATGGAGTTTAATTTAGATAAGTGTAAGGTGTGCATTTTGGAAAGATAAAAATGGGACAGGACTTATACACTTATTGGTAAAGTCCTGGAGAGTGTTGCTGAGCAAAGAGACCCTGAAGTGCAGGATCATAGTTCCTTGAAAGTGGTATCGCAGGTAGACAGGACGGTTAAGAAAGCACTTGGTATGCTTACCTTTTTTGATCAGTGCATTGACTATAGGAGTTAGGAGGTTATGCTGTGGATGTACAGGACATTGGTTAGGCTACTTTTGGATTACTGCGTTCAGTTCTGGTCTCCTTGCTATAGTGTTTAGGAATGGTTCAGAAAAGATTTACAAGGATGTTGACGGGATTGGAGGGTTTGAGCTATAGGGAGAATCTGAAAAGGCTGGGGCTATTTTCCCTGGAGCATTAGAGGCTGAGATGTGACCTTATAGAGGTTTATAAAATCATGAGGGGCATGGACCGGGTGAATAGTCAAGGACTTATTCCCAGGGAAGGGCAGTCCAAAACTAGAGGGCATAGGTTGAAGGGGTTATGGGAAAGATTTAAAAAGGACCAAAGGGACAACTTTTTCATGCAGTGGGTGGTGTGTGTAAGGAATGAACTGCCAAAGGAAGTGGTGGAGGCTGGTACAATTACAATATTTAAAAGGCACCTGGATGGGTATATGAATAGGAAGGGTTTGGAGGGATATGGGCCAGTTGCTGGCAAATGGGACTAGATTAATTTAGGATATCTGGTCAGCATGAATGAGTTGGGCAGAAGGTTCTGTTTCTATGCTGTACAGCTCTATGACTCTAAGTACTTCTTTGACAGTAAAGCACTTTCAATGATCCTGAAATCCACAACAGAAAAGCAAATTCACATCTCTTTCTCCCTCCGTGTGATACCTTTATTCACAGCTGATTTAAAGATGATGTTACAATTACTGTTGTTTGTCATCTTGGGATTGTATCTTGAACATGGATATGAAGGGATCACCTATGGACAGCAATGATAAACCCAGCCTTTGAGGCTAATTGTGCCTGAAATTCCCACCACATGCAGAGTTCTCGCAATAGGAGTGCAATTTTATAAACTTTAAACTGCAAGGCGAAAATCTAAAATCTGAAGATCATGCCTTGCATTCCACTTTAAGATGCAATGAAACTTTGGCAAACTTCTCCCTCTGTTCTGAAAGAAAAAGTTCAGCGAACATTTCTAAACTCCTTATAAAATATGAAGCAGTGTTATTAATGAATAAGTGAATAAATGGAAGTGTTTTAAGTTCAGGGTGAAACAGAGAGATTGCACCAAATCACCTGATTTTCCACTTACCGAGAACTATGAGTTTGAGTTCTCTCATTTGCTTCTTTTTCAGCTGCTTTGTTTCTTGGTCAATTTTTTTGCTGACAGCCAATGCAAATTTTTCATCCTCTGACAGACAACAGTAACAGCGACAGCAAGACAGATAATGCAGACACGAGGCCATACTCTGGTAGAGAGACTTATGCTCACATTGAAACTAGCCAAAGGCTAAGAAACCTCACTGAACTTCACCAGATACTTAAAACTAACTCAAACAACAAATCTGCCAGTTAGAACGGAGTCACATTTGGTCTGACTTGGTCTTCTTTAATCCAACATCAATCACAGTATGTTTGTTCCTGAAGTAAATCCCAACATTCAAATGACAAAAGAGAGAGAATCAGACAATCTCCTTTGAAACTTAATGTGCGGAAGAAAACTGCAACAATTTGATGGGATTTAAAGTGCCAAGAATCTGGGCCACGCCTAATCTGAAGTCATATTTAATTCGTAGTTACATGGATGAGTGCTATCAGCTTATTCAGACTAACACTGGCTGGCAATACATTGTTTAGAAACGTATAGAGGCCGATAAGACCATTACAGTAGAGTAGAATTTACTGTAAATAGAACCTTGTGAAAAATGAACAAGATAAAAATGAGTCAATTTTACTTCTCTCAAATATTGTAGACATGGTAACTTAATAGTTGAACTGCATCAAAACTGGGAGAGAAACTAAGCTTTGTATTTGAAAATATGGGTGAGTAAATTCAGAGCTGGTCAAAAATTTGAATTAAATGTCATCAGAATTTGCTCCCTATCTCAGTGTTCGGTGATGCCTTGATTGTAACTCACTGTGATACCCTGGCAGAAAAATGCAATCAAAGCACATAAAATCTTCGCAGTACATCATTGAATTCAGAATTCTCCTGATTTTACACTTTCACAGATGCAACAGTACCTCAGAAAAAGTGTGTTTCTGAGGAGGAGGAGGTAGACGAGAAGGAAGGTGAAAGAGGAAGGGTGAGGCAAAGGGTAGGAAAGGGATGTGAGGTGATGAAGAAGGGAAAGAAGAAGGAGAAAGAAGAGGGAAGGCAGGATAATGGGAAGGAGGAGGAAGTGGAGGCAGAAAATGAGTGCACCAGGTCATCGGATTTTGATGAATATCATCCTAGGGTCTTAAAAAAGGTGGCCAAGGTAGGAGATTGCAAAATTCTCTAGATTCTAATAAAATTCAATCAGACCGGAAAGCAGCAAATATAAGTCCTCTATTCAAAAAGGAACAGAAGCACACAACAGGAAACAATGGACCAGTTTGATTGATATCTGTCATGGGCAAGGTCCAAGAATGAATCACTAAGGAGTTTATAGCTGGATACCAAAAAAATGAAGGTAATTGAGATAAGTGAGCATGAATGTTTGAAAGGCAAATCAAGGTGAACCAATTTATTGGAGTCCTTTGAAGGAATGACATATGATGTAGTTATAGGGAACTCATTGATGATTTCCAAAAGGCATTTGAAAAGTTGCTACATAAATGTAATTGTGAAAAGTAGAAGCACATGGCAAAGGGAGGTAATAAACTAGCACGGATAAAACTGCCACAAAAAGTTGTAAATCTGAGGATGGGGAATTTTATAATTCACTAAAGGAGAACCAAGAAATTAATAAAGAAAAAAAAAAATAAAATATGAATGCAAAATAGCAAGAAACTTAAACACAGGTTGTAAAAGCTTCTGCAGGTATATAAAAAGAGAAATGTTAGCAAAGACAAATATGGGCCTGCAGATTAGAAGATTGAAAATGTAACCTCACTGTTTAGGAAAGGAGGGAGAGGGAAATCAGGGTACAATAGACCTGTTAGCTTGACAGCAATAGTAGGAAAAATACTCAAATCTACTATAAAGAATGTGGTTCCTGGATATTTAGAAAATAATTGTCTGATTGAACAGATAAGACAGAATCTTATCGATGGGTGGAACAGGTTCAAGAATGGTTTCTGCTCTTAATTTGTATGTTATATATTTGTAACAATTATTTGAATCACAATTAATCCATCTGATGTCCACCACATACAAAGGAAAAAGCTTCCATAGGACCAGAATGCCCATTCAGGCTTAAAGTACTTGCAGTTTATTGTGGGCAGGTCGTTCTGTCAGTAATAAAATAGTTTATAAGAGTAAGTATTTTCCATTACTAATGTGATGCCTGTCAGTTTCTGTAAGCTTCTTGAGCATCTAACAGGAAATATTTACATTGTTTTCTCATGGCAATAGATAAAATGATGACACATAGGGAGGTATTATTTAATAAAGATAATTGTTATGATACAAATACTTATGGCTATTTGTAATTCCTTTTCAGGCTGATGAAACTAACAGTGTGAAAAAGTAGTTGCATCCAACACGTATGATTTAAATTAAGATAGAGCACCTCTCGACTGAATGGAGCAAAGAGAATGCTAGAAACACTCAACAGCTCAGACACTATCACTGAAGAGTGAAACAAATGCAATGGACAGCTTTTTACTATGTACTTAAGGACCTGACCCATAATCACACAGGGCTCGAGCCCACGCATACCACCAGTGAGACCACCTCGGGGATCTTTTGGGACAGAAGGCAGATTACAAGTACTGCCAATCAGAGAACCAGCTGTCCTGAATCCTCAGTAATCAACCTAATGAGGAATCAGTACTAAGGCTGGTTGGAGACCTCCGAATGGGTGACAGCTCTCGATGAGGTTTCGTGGTGCTTGATTCCGGGATGGTCTACCACTGGCCAGTGCAGTGCTCGGTTGGCATTTAATGCCCGACCCCTTTCCAAACAGAGTCATGGGTAAGACCTCCATCATCACCATTAAACATAGCATGATGATACAAATGCATGTTTATCCAAAATTGTCACAAACACAATACCCCAAGCAATCAGCAGTATCCTGTCTCTGTTTCCATCCTTCAGTTAGTATATAGCTAACTTTACACCTGTTCCAGTCGTTCCTCCAGGCAATGCATAGAGTACAGTACCTGAAGCATGGAGAAGGGAGATTACTGCTTGTTAAATATCTTGTTAATGGTCTAACTCACCTCATTAATATTCAGCTTTCTGTCTTGCCAAATGGCAAGCAAACTACACATTGAGAAAACTTGACAAAGAAACCAGGGTGGGTATCTGGCAAATCTAGCTTACCGCTTGTGCTGAAGGAGCTTCATATTGGACACTGAGCACGAACATCTAAGGGTGTACTCCACAGCCACTGGCCATATAAAGCACTCTTCAACAACTATATGCCAGCCTCAGAGAACCCTCATGGCTCATCTCTGATCCACCTACAGTACACTTCTGCGTTTCAGTACTGCACCTTGGGACTGCACCAGCAGCTATTCTACAATGCTGTTGCAAGGATTCTGTGCGCTTAGAGTCATGCACCCAGCTCATGGCTGCATCTTCACTCACAGTCATAGCGCTCACTCACTCGGAGCCTACCTGGATGCTTATAGCATCCCTGCCTTGCAACTCCTCAACTTGCCTTGTCCCATTCAGCCAGAGATACAAAGCTCATATCACCTCTATCTTGCTTTGCCATTCAGTGCAGAGGGAATTGTGCAATCAGTGAGAATGCAAGAATGTAGACATCTGTGGGGTGAAATGTTTCAGTTTCAGAAGTGAGACAAACTTACTTTATATCAAAATGAAGGAGCTGATTTTGTTTCAATATGCTTTAATGGAAGCATTTTAGATTCTTATCTGAATGAGTGAAATAATGGGCAACATTGGAAAGAGATTTAGACATGGATCAGGCTAGAGAAGAACATGTTTTGGTGCCATTGGGACAGGGGAGACGAGCCTCCAAGTTGCTTCCTGTCCATGATGTAGGCTCCAAGTTACTACATTGACCGTGCAAATAGAATGTCATGTTGCTTACAGTATTATACTGGCTACATTTCAAAAGTGCTCAAATAAAAGCAAAATATTACAGATGCTGGTGAGCTGAATTAAAACAGAAAATTCTAGAGAAACTCAGCATACCTGATAATTTCTGGAGAGAGAAACAGAATCAATATTTCGAGTTCTTATCTGAAGATCACAATGCCAGACCTGCTGAGTTTCTCCAGCATTTTCAGGTTTTGCTTCAAAAGCACCTCACTGGCTGTCAGGCACTTGGAGGCAAGCTGAAGTTGTGAGACTCTTTCTTTATAACTTTGTCTGTAAGAGCTTGATGCTGATTCTGGATGGAGAAAGCAGCATAAGTTCCTTTCCATCAGCTGCCTCCCCTCACTTCATATGGGATTGCGGACAATGTGTGTAACACAATGGCATTGTTCTTCCTGAGGGGCCAAATCTGTAGCAGCCTGTTGCTGTCCTGCAATCCTCACAGTGGAAGATGTTTCTCCATTGGAAGCCTTGGAGCCAACAAAACGTAACAGAGAAGTAGGTCAAACCATCCTGATCCCACAGGCTATAGCATATGTAGAAAGCCCACTTAGAGTCACAAGAGTCATAGAGGTTTACAGCATGAAAACAGGCCGTTCAGCCCAACTTGCCCATGCCACCCAGTTTTCACAATTAACTAGTCCCATTTGCCAGCGTTCGGTCCATATCCTTCCATACCTATCCCATCAGGTACCTGTCTAAATGTTTCTTAAATGATGAAATTGTACTCACCTCCACCACTATCTCTGGCTGCCCGTTACAGATACTCGCCACACTCTGCGTGAAAAAATGTCCCTCTGGACCCTTTTGTATCTCTCCCCTCTCACCTTAAACCTCTGCCCTGTAGTTCTGGATTCCCCTACCATGGGGAAAAGCTGAAAAACCTTATCTATGCCTCTCTTGATTTTATGGACGTGTACAAGGTCACCCCTTAGTCTCCTACAGTCCAGGGAAAAAAGTCCCAGCCTATCCAACCTCTCATTAGAACTCAAATAAATATATCGGCAAAGTCTTTTATTCCACCTTTGTTATTATTATTTTAAGACATTAGCATGAATTTCACCAGCTCATACGGTTCAGTCCTGACATTGACAAGTTAATTTGAGCAAAGCATTTCTTCTTCTTTCAGGAAAATCTCTTCTGCTGTTGTGAAAAAATAATTACACGTGTTCAATGTAAGTTAATAGCTTGGTAGTCCCAGGATAAAAGTTTCACATCATTTCACTTACAGCTGTTAAAATTCAGGTTGTATCATTGCAAGAGTAAATCAGCTACAGGAATGTTTAAAATGTATTGTAACTATAGTGGACAGTGGAGAATTTTATGAATGTGTGCCTTTCATGCTTGTTGGGAAAGTGTCAGATTGCAGCCCACAATGTTCCCTCATGTACATTGCACTATATCTGTCTTTTCTTAATCTGCATACAAGGCAAAGATTCACAAACCATTTTTTTTTCTGTATGTAATGGGTGTACAGT